ATAAAGTGAAAAGACAAGCCACAAATATTAGTAACACATATAATCAACAAAGGGCTTATTTTTAAAACATATAAAAAACTACAAATCTATAAGATAAAGACAAAATCCTTAAATTCACAATGAAATATCATTTCATACCCAGATTGGCAAGAATTAAAGTATGCTTGACAACTTGAAGAATAGTTGAGAATGTGGAGCAATGGGAATTCTCATACTCAGTTGCTATAGATATAAATTGGACAGTCACTTTGGAGAGCAATTTGGTAATATCTGACAAAATCGAGGTTGTCCATATTCTTACAATACTGTGTCTTTCAACCTGGGAAATCACAAATCTATAGGTTGTGAAGTCTATTTAACAACTAGTACTTTTTTAAAAGAAGTATAGAATAAACTATAAAATACCAGCATGCATTGCATGTAGCACAGATTATTATATCACAACTTTTTTTTTCACTTTTATACTGAGTGCTAGGTAAAATGTATTTCATACTGTGAGTCTGGTTAAAAAAAAGGTGGGGGAGGTGGCTGCCTTTGAGAAGCTCATTTACATGTATTGGAGACAAGTATTGGAATTTTTCTTATATGTATAGTATAAGCAGCTAAAAGATCCATTAAGATAATGAATAAATTGTGGAATGCTCATGAGTAAAATACTACACAGTAGTGAAAATGAATGAAGTAGAGTTGTATGTCAATATGGATAAGTCTCTCAAAACAATGTAAAAAAAAAAAAAAGCAAGCAAATATGTGGAACATATTGTTTATCTGATGTTTAAAAACATGCAAACTAGGCCCTGGCTGGGGAGCTCAGTTGGTTAGTGTTGTCCCGAACGCCAAGGATGTAAGTTCAATCCCCGATCAAGGCACATACAAAAATCAACCAATGAATGCATAAATAAGTGGAACAAGAATTTGATGTTTCTATCTATCTATCTATCTATCTATCTATCTTATCTATCTATCTATCTATCTATCTATCTATCTCTTTTCTATCTCACTTTCTTTTCCTCTCTCTCTCTCCCTCTAAAATCAATCAATAAAAATTTTTTAAAAACATGCAAGCTACATTGTTTACAGGTACATACATATGTAATTTTACATACACAGTAAAACTTATGTGAGACTGATAAATACCAAGTTTAAGATAATAGTTACTTGTCAGGAGGTAAAAAGATCTGTTAGGATTGGAGAGAGGGCTTTATTCATTTTTATTTGTAATGTTTCATTTCTTTAACGAGATGGTGGATACAGTTCATCATTCTTTATACTTTTTTACATACTTGAGATATTTCAAATAAAAATGAGAAAAGAGGCAATTATTTAAAAAGTAATTTTAAAAAAACAATGGGAGGAGAGAACACTGAAGCACAAATGGAGGCACCAAGTTTGGCTGTGAAGAGAAGCAGAGAAATGGGTTGTTAATTAGAGGGGCTGGTATTAGTAAAAAGAAGGATTTTTTTTTTCTTTTTTAAGATGGATAAGGTCCTAGAGCATGTTGGTATATTTCTGGGAAAGAACAGTGGGAAGGAGGAGATTGGTGACTTCAGCAGTAAAGGGATAACAAATAAGAGCGAAGACCTAGACTGTTGCCTACCTCGTTTCTCAGCAGCCAGTCTTCCTTTCTTCTAGTGCAGGGGTCCTCAAACTACGGCCCGCAGGCCACATGCAAATACAAATATTGTATTTGTTCCCATTTTGTTTTTTTACTTCAAAATAAGATATGTGCAGTGTGCATAGGAATTTGTTCATAGTTTTTTTTAAACTATAGTCCAGCCCTCCAACGGTCTGAGGGACAGTGAACTGGGGCCCTGTTTAAAAAGTTTGAGGACCCCTGTAATCTAGTGTGTCCTCTTCTCCAGAGCCCACTTAGTCTTTCTAAGACAAAGCTTTGCTTGTGTTACTCTGTCCTGGAGAAAACTTTCATGACTCCCCATCACTTGTGTCCTGGAGCTCACACTCCTCAGCCTGGCATTGGAGACTCTTCCCAGTTTGTCCTCAACTTGCCTTTCCAGTCCTATCTCACTTTCCTCTACACGAACACTCTTCTCACTCTTCCCTGAACACACCCAAGCCATTTTACAGATGTGTTGGCTCCCTGTTTGGAATGTGCCTGCCTTAACTTTGCTGGGAACGTTCTTTCATCTTCATTTTGTTTTTATCTCCATGTAACTTTTTCTTAAATATACCCAACCCACATTGACTTAGCTCTGAACTCTGCAACGTGGAGTATTTTTGTTGCACTTGGTACCTGTGTGCTGCTGTGTATTTTTATTCATCATCATTGTGTAATAGAAAGAGTACGGCTCTGGGGATCACAGACTTGGGTTTTTCTATTTCACATTTGTATAAAAATAATACGTGGTTGATTTTCTAATAGCAAACAATATAAACAAATACATATGGGGTGGGACAAAAATAGGTTTACAGTTGTGAGTACACAAAATAGTTTATTCTTATATTATTATTTATTATTATATTATTTTCCATATGAATAACTGTAAACCTTTTGCCACACCCTGTACAATAAAAAGTAAAATTCCCCCTCCATATTCACACTTTGTCCATTCTCCTCCCCTGGAATTGACAACTGAGAAGGATTGGTATATAGTCAATATGTATTTTCCAGGCAAATGCAAATCTAGAGAAAAGAGATTTGTCTTTTCTTAATTGAATGATAGTTCAGTGGCCTGTTTTGTTTATTAAACAGGTTATTATAGATCCTTCCACATTGATACGTACAACTCTACCTCATTAAAAAAAAATAAGGTAGAGGTATCAAAATGTATTTAACTTGATGGATATTCAGATTATCTCAAGGTTTTTTTAAAAAAATATGCTTTTCTTGATTTCAGAGGAAGGGAGAGGGAGAGAGAGTTAGAAACATCAATAATGAGAGAGAATCATTGATTGGCTGCCTCCTGCACACCCCCTAATGAGGATTGAGACTAAAACCCAGGCATGTGCCCTGACCGGGACTCAACCATGACCTCCGGATTCATGGGTCAACGCTCAACCACTGAGCCCCACTGCCCGGGTGATTATCTCCAGGTTTTGTTTTTGTTTTTTTATCTCCAGTTTTAAATTATGTTTATAAACTATGCTGTGGTGGCTATCCTTTGTGCCTACATTCTTGTACAATGTGTAAGACAATTTCCTAAAAGTGAATTGGTTGGGCTAAAATTGATTTGGTTTTGAATCCTGGCTTTCCCAGCTTGCTTACTTTAAACAAACTAATTCATCTCAATCTGCTACCTCATCTGCAAAAGGAAATACATTCAGAGTTTTATGAAGATGACCATATATGACCTAAGACACACCAGCTGTCAGTCAGGAAATTTTAATTTCCTTTTTTCTATAAGTTGTCTTTCCAATTAAAAAGTAAGCTTCACCCCTAGCTGGTTTGGCTCAGTGGATAGAGTATCAGCCTGCAGACTGAAGGGTCCCAGGTTCGATTCCGGTCAAGGGCACATGCCTGGGTTGCGGGCTCGATCCCAAGTAGGGGGCGTGCAGGAGGCAGCTAATCAGTGATCCTCTCTCAGCATTAATGTTTCTCCCTTTCTCCCTCTCGCTTCCTCTCTGAAATCAATAAAAATATATTTTTTTAAAAAGGTAAGCCCTAACTGGTTTAGCTCAGTGGATAGAGCGTCGGCCTGCAGACTGAAAGGTCCCAGGTTCGATTCCAGTCAAGGGCATGTACCTTGGTTGCGGGCACATCCCCAGTAGGGGGTGTGCAGGAGGCAGCTGATTGATGTTTCTCTCTCATCGATGTTTCTAATTCTCTATCCCTCTCCCTTCCTCTCTGTAAAAAATCAATAAAAAATATATAAAAAAAGGTAAGCTTCATGAGGAGAGGGGTGCCTTAAAATAGATCTACACATAGGTCATGTTACTCTTTTTACACTGAGTGAGACTCAGAAAGTTATCCAGTTGCCAGAATGTTTTCCTTAATCCGCTTTTATAACCTTTTAGGATCGCCAAGGATCCAAGATTTGAACGATTACCATGCACACACAAAGGAACCTATGCAGATGACTGCTTAGTACAGAGAGTAACTCAGGTATCGTCAGTTTTTAAATGCTTACTTTGTGTGCTTAATAAAAAAAAGAGAGAAGGCAAACTATTGTCTCCTGAATGTTCATGGTCAGAAAAGTAGCTAGGAATTTAAATGGTAATGTAATACATATACATATA